GCCTGTGGTCCCAGCTACTTGGGAGGCTGAGGCAGGAGACTCGCTTGAGCCCAGGAGTGGGAAGTTGCTGTGAGCTGAGATGTCACAGTACTCTAACCAGGGGGAAGCTTGAGGCTCCTGTCTCAAAAAAAAAAAAAAAAAAACAACTGCACAGGGGCAAGAGGGTTTTAATATTTTCTTATTTCCTATGTATTAACTAAAACCACAAGTACAAGTAGCCGAAGAGTCCTTGCATGTATATCATGCTGTTTGCTGGCATTAGTGGTCTTTTTTATCCTTCTCAAGAGGAGTCTATACCTCCTAGTCTCTACAACCTAGTTAGATAGAAACTAAAGAGTTCTCCTTGCACTAAGGCATATCACTCAAATGCAATTTACCTTCTGTCCTTCTCCTGTAACCAGGTAACATCGACCCAGCATAAATCGACAGGAACCAACATTAACTTGACACCAAGGATGTAGCAGTTGAATGTAATCCTTAAAGACATAAAAGGTGCTTACTGATTAGGAAAATAAACATTACTTAAGGAGATACTTATTTCCAAGTTGTTCTTCATACAAGGAGAGAATATAGTGTTTAATTAACACAAGTTTTATTTCCTGAAATCATCTGGAGATTAAAATCTAATCCTGTTAATATATATTCTTTTTTTTGGAGACAAAGTCTCACTTTGTCACCCTTGGTAGAGTACCATAATGTTATATAGCTCACAGCAACCTCAAGCTCTTCGACTTAAGTGATTGTACTGTCTCAGCCTCCCAAGTAGCTGGGACTACAGGTATCCGCCACAATATTTGGCTATTTTTTAGAGACAAAGTTTCACTTTTGCTCAGCCTGGTCTCGAACCTATAAGTTCAGGTGATCCACCTGCCTCGGCCTCCCAGAGTGCTAGGACTACAGGCGTGGGCCACTGTAATATTCTTTTTTTTTTTTGAGATAGTCTCACTAAGTTGCCCTCGGTAGACTGCCATGGTGTCACAACTCACAGCAACCTCAAACTCTTGGGCTTAAGCAATTCTCTTGCCTCAGCCGCCTAAGTAACTGGGACTATAGGTGCCCGCCACAATGCCTGGCTTAGGTGTTGTAGTTGTAGTTGGTTGTAGTTGCCATTGTTGTTTGGCAGGCCCAGGCTGGCGTATGTGGCTGGTGCCCTAGCCGCTGAGCTATAGGCACTGAGGTTGTAGTTGTCATTGTTGTTTTGGCAGGCCCAGGCTGGTGTATGTGGCTGGTGCCCTAGCTGCTGAGCTATAGGCACTGAGCCAACTGACCAATATAGTCTAATATATTCAGTTCTCCAAATGATCTGATTTTTAAGTCTGGAATGGGGCCCAAGAAATTTGATTCATGTTGTCTGTGTACTATATTTTAAAAAATTGGCTCGGCGCCTGTGGCTCAAGCAGCTAAGGCACCAGCCACATACACCTAAGGTGGCGGGTTCAAATCCCCAGCCCGGGCCCGCCAAACAACAATGATGGCTGCAACCAAAAAAATGGCCGGGCGTTGTGGCGGGCTCCTGTAGTCCCAGCTACTTGGGAGGCGGAGGCAAGAGACTCGCTTGAGCCCAGGAGTTAGAGGTTGCTGTGAGCGTGATGCCATGGCACTCTACCCAGGGGGACAGCTTGAGGCTCCGTCTCAAAAAAAAAATATATACAGATTTGATTTTTTACTCAGGAAATTTACAACATAAGAGGGAAGACAGATACATAAACAAAGATGATTATGGTTAAGAATTATTTAGGTTAGATATCTTATGAAAGCAAATGCAAGTTCCGTAACACATATACACACTCTCACACACACTTTACATGTCAGTAACATGTCAGTAACTTTCCACTTTTTGGTATTTTCTGGTTCAATGACTAGATTCCAATAAAGGATTTATATGACGACAATGGTATGTTTGTATTACTATAAAATAATCTAGCAGAGAGAATTTAAAAAAAAGATACTCTAGAAAAAATTATGTTAGGGATGATCCCATCAAGAGAGGCAGAACTGAAGCTGAGATGGTCCTCTATAAGAAAAAAACAGACCAGGTGAGGTGGGTCATACCTATAATCCCACCACTCTGGGGGGCCGAGGTGGGTAGATTGCCTGATCTCACAGGTTCAAGACAAGCCTAAGCAAATGTGAGACCCTGTCTCTAAAAAATAGCTGGGCATTGAGGTGGCTGCCTATAATTCCAGCTACTCAAGAGGCTGAGGCAAGAAAATCGCTTGACCCCAAGAGTTTGAGGTTGCTATGAGCTATGATGCCATGGCACTCTACCAAGGGCGACATAGTGAAACTCTGTCTCAAAATAAATAAATAAAACAAAATAAATTAAAAAATGAAAACCATTTTAGGGTGGCACCTGTAGCTCAGTGGTTAGGGCGCCACCCACATACATTGGGGCTGGTGGATTCGAATCCAGCCCGTGCCAGCTAAACAACGACACTTACAACAACAAAAAAATAGCCAGGCATTGTGGCAGGCACCTATAGTCCCAGCTACTTGGGAGGCTGAGGCAAGAGAATCTCTTAAGCTCAGGAGTTTGAGGTTGCTGTAATCTGTGACGGCACAGCACTCTGCCAAGGGCAACATAGTGAAGACACTGTCTCCAAAAAACCCCCCAAACATTTAAAAATGTAAAAAAAGAGAGAAATAGAGAAAAATCTCTCCTCTTTAAATTTTATTACTTTTATAAAAGCCTACAGCAACTGATATTCCAGGCAGCCAAGTACTAACCAGGCCCAAAGCTGCTTAGTTTCTAAGATCAGGCAAGATCAGGTACATTTAGGGTGTTATGGTCATAGATAAAATCTCTTTGGGACATGTCTTGGCATAATCAAGTTTAATTACTATAGTTCTTATTATCAAAACAAAATTCCAGCAATCTCATTCTTTATAAAAATAATTAAAGCTGAAATGTTCAAAGGAACTCACCTGCAATTGTACATACTGACAATTTCCCATCAAACATTCTAGAAAGAGACAACCAGGATTGCTAGGCCATCTAGTTACTGGTTAAGGAGACTGCTTACTTTTCTGCGCAAAACTTAAATATACATATTGGCCATCAAACTAATCAATAAAATCTTGCTCAACTCCTCAGCCAAAAACAAAATAAAAATAGGGATCATGTCTGAAAATACTTAAAAATCTTGTCAGGTGGTAAGCATCTAACCTCATTAAAGTTTTTCATTAAACTTGAACTTTACCTCAGAAATGAAAACAATGTAACCTAAGCATTTGTACTCTCAAATCAAACTGAAATTAGAAAAATTCTTCATTCTACAGGCAGAATCAGAGCCTTGGACTATTTAGATAGGAGACCTTTCAACTGGCTTTTAAATAAAAGGATACAAAAGTTGCAATAAATAATTGGTAACTGCAGTGATCATTTCAGGCCAATTTAATCCAGTTTGGTTTAGAGATGCCTTTGGTTGAGAGAAGAGATGAGATATAATGTGTTTTCTTGCAACTTCCTGGAAGAATAACTCCACAATTGTCTGAGGGCTAGATACTTAAAAAGAAAGTTATGATAATCACAAACTAGTGATGGTAAGATCAAAGATAACAGTTTTTTGATTCAGACAACCTACCAATTAATTTTATCATTATAAGAAAGAACACTTATCATTTCAAAACAGAAGATGCATGAGGACAATATAAATAAAAGCTGTCTGTGAACTGTGAAGCACTGGGAAAATGCAATAAAAAGCCACTTAATTCATTGTTACAGTCATTTCTTTTCACTGATCTCACTATATCTAAGTGCCTTTCCTAGAAACTCCTTACCATGAACACATTAAGTCCCAAAATAATGAGTGTTTTACCAAAACAATGGAAAATAAATTCTCTAGAATAATGGTTTTCAAGTAGGAGAGAGAGAGCCTTTTAAATATTCGTTGACTAAAATAAGATTACAAAAGCTACCATGAACTTGGTAAATGTTTAAATGATTTTGTTGAATTAATCACTGAAGCATCAAAACACAATGAATGGAAAGGCTCAGGCCCATAGCTCAGAGGTGAAGGCACCAGCCATATACACCAAGGCTGGCAGGTTTGAGCCCAGCCTGGGCCTGCTCAACAACCATGACAACTACAGCAAAAAAAATAGCTGGGCATTGTGGCAGGTGCCTATAGTCCCAGCTACTTGGGAGGCTGAGGTGAGAGAATCACTTAAGCCCAAGAGTTGGAGGTTGCTGTGAGCTGGGACGCCATAGCACTCTACGGAGGGGGACACAGTGAGACTCTGTCTCAGGAAACACAATGGAAAAGTACTGTCTGTACCACACCCTTAATTGATGCCTGATCTGAGACTACAGTTTACTGATCCCTTGCAACAATCAGAAGTCTCGGGCCACAGCTTTTTTTTTTTTTGAGACAGAATTTCACTTTGTCACCGTTGGTAGAATGTCATGGTGTCATAGCTCACAGCAACCTCAAACTCTTGGGCTCAAGCAATTCTCTTGCCTCATCCTCCCAAGTAGCTGTGCCTACAGATGCCTGCCACAATGCCCAGCTATCTTTTAGAGATGGGGTCTTGCTCTTGGCTCAGGCTGGTATTGAACCTGTGAGCTCACGCAATCCCCCTGCCTCGGCCTCTCAGAGTGCTGGGATTATAGGCATGAGCCGCTGCGCCTGGCCAGGCCACAACTAAAGAAAGCAAAAAGCCTGGCCAATCTTTCCATAGGAAAGGTGGCAAATGATCATTTTAATGAATATACAATTTAAAATCAAATGCATACAACATCTACTCCTTACCAAACTTATTTGCCATTAAAGTACCAGAGTCCGTTAGTTCCAGTACTGATAAGTGTTGGAGATTAGACTCCCTGTGAAAAAAGGGAAAAAGACAGTTTAATAAATTCTGCTATGCCAAACATTACTTCTACAAGTTATATTATTAATATTAAGAACACTTTCAACTTAATCGATTGTTGTCCATCAAATTACTCAGTGATCCTTCAAGGAGCAGGCAGAATAGACAGGAGTTTATCTTACTGAAAATGTAAATCTTTCCTGGGAAGCAGACTCATAGGACAAAAAAGAAAAAGAAGGAAAATGTGAATCTTGTAATTCTTATATTTTCTTTCTTCCTTTGGTTATAAAGAAGTTCAGTTTACCTTTAATAACTACAGCACAATGTTTCTGTGTATGGTCTAACTTTCATTCTGTTCATCTTATTATTTTGCCTTTAACATGATTCACCTGTATATTATATACACATATATAATTAAGTTACTATTAAATTAATTAAAAGTAATAAATACATTGTATTTTCATTCTTTTAAGCTGCCTTCAACCTTTAGAAAATGGAGTATCTGACAGCTCTCTGAATCTTAAAGGCACATATGAATAAAGAATTTTTCTTTAAGATAGAGAGATAATAATTAAATTCACAGTTTATTTTTAAAATAATGATAGCGAAACTCACAGGGTGTCAAGTGGAACATCGGTTGCCAAGCACTGACTTCCCCACTTAATGAGGTAATAAGATAAGAGTAGGGGAGCTGTTCGATGTAGTAGGTCTTGCTGAGCTTGAAAGAGCTGACCAGCTCCCAAAATCACCTATACATGATGGGTGGGTAGATGAAACAACAAACAATAGTCATCAGTAAAGGTGACTCTAGTGGTTCAGGTGGAGATAAAATAACAAACATAGCTACAAAGAAGACAATGTTGTAAAAGCAACACACCTATTACATTTTGGAGTAGGAAGTGGCAAAATAGCTTTTCCCAAATTAACAGTCCAAAAATAATCAACAGCTCACCAACTTATGGGAGCTCATGTTAAAACAAACAAACAAACAAAAAGGTTAATTTTCATTAAATCTGTGGGTTCAGAACTGAGGAAGAGGAAGAGGGAAATCTAAATCCTGTCTTATGTACTGGTGCTGGGTAAAAATATGTAAGATATGTAGAAGCAAATTTGGCAATACTACCAACATCCTTAAAATGTGCATACCCTGTGACCAATCAATTCTAGTTTTTTTTTTTTTTTCTAGAGACAGGGTCTTGCTATGTTGCCCAGGCTGGAGTGCAGTAGCTATTCACAGGCGCGATCCCACTACTAATCAGCACGGGAGTTTTGACCGGCTCCATTTCCGACCTGGGCCAGTTCACCCCTCCTTAGGCAACCTGGTGGTCCCCGGCTCCCAGAGGTTACCATAGTGATGCCAAACTTAGGGCAGACACCTGATAGGTATAATGCACTACAGCCCAGAACTCCTGGACTCAAGCGATCCTCCTATCTCAGCCCTGAGTAGCTGGGACTATGGGCGCACACTACCGTGTCTGGCTTAATTCTTAACTGCATTAGGTATTTATTAAAAAGGGGTAGATGGCAAAATTTAAATAGTGGTTATTGCCAGGTATAAGATTACAAAATTTTTTTTTTTTCTTTTTGAGACAATCTCACTTTGTCACCCTCAGTAGAGTGCTGCAGCATTATAGCTCATAGCAACTTGAAACTGTTGGGCTCAAGCAATCCACTTGCCTCAGCTTCCCAAGTAACTGGGACTATAGGTGCCTACAACACCTGGCTAGTTTTAGAGACAGGGTCTTGCTCTTGCTCAAGCTGGTCTGGCACTAATGAGTTTGGGTGATCCATTGGCCTCAGCCTCCCAGAGTGTAGGGATTACAGGTGTAAGCCACTATGTCTGGCCCTACAGATTAATTTTTATTTTCTTCTTGCATACATATCTTTTTTTTTTTTTTAAGAGATAGAGTCTCACTCTGTCACCCTCAGTTGAGTGCCATGGCGTCACAGATCACAGCAACCTCCAGCTCTCAGGCTTAGGCAATTCTCTTGCCTCAGCCTCCCAAGTAGCTGGGACTACAGGCGCCCGCCACAACGCCTAGCTATTTTTTGTTGCAATTTGGCCAGGGCCGAGTTCGAAACTGCCAACCTCGGCATATGGGGCCGGCACCCCACTCACTGAGCCACAGGCACTACCCCAGATTGCTTTCTTTTTACGCTTGAATGAGATTATTGACTCACAGAAAATTGAGATTTCTGACTATGGGGAGAAAGGTAATTTTTAAGCATGGAACACTTACCAAGGTAGGCAATTGGGACTAGCAATTGACAGCACTAAGAGTCTGGTAGTCTGAGAGTAGTACAGAAGAGGAAGCACAGAACGGAGTTAGGAGGACCACAAAGACAAACGTTGCAATCTCAAGATTGTTTTAAAGGTAATCCTTACACTGGATGTTATCTTTTTTCTTTTTCCTCTCTTTTGCACACTAAACAGTACCCTGCTTCACATCCGAAGTAGTACAATAATACTAACTTTTGGGAGAACAAACCTGGGAAAAATTTCTACTATTATATATACACAAAGGTTAAGAGCAAAGCAATCTGGCTACGTGCAGTGGGTTTATGCCTATAATCCTAGCACTCTGGGAGGCTGAGACAAGAGGATCCCTTAATGTCAGGAGTAGGGACTAGCTTACACAAAAGGGATACCTTGTCTCTACTAAAAATAGAAAATACTGGTTAGGACTGGTGGCAGATGCCATAGTCCCAGCTACTCAGAAGCTAAGGCAAGAGGATCACTTGAGCCCAGGAGTTGGAGCGGGCTGTGATGACACCACTGCACTCTACTTGGGGTGACAGTGAGACTCTGTCTTAAAACATTAAAAAAAAAAAGTAATCTGCTTAATGTGTTCTTAATCTGTAATCCTGTAAGGATTATGATGCTTATTCATTGTTAATTCAACAAGTATTATGAGAGCACCTATTAAGGCCAAACATGGGGGATAAAGCAGTGAACAAAGTCTCTGCACTGGTAGAGCTGACATTTTGCTGTGGTGTGCCTATAGGTCTGCATCAGGTTCTAATTTTCCCTTAAGTAGTACTTACTGCATCTCCTAGCCTCAGTAATAGCTGCTGTAAGATCAAAAGGTCTCGGCAGATCAGGAAGCGAGTGCTGGCAATTTTGTGCACACCTCTGCACACAATATTCCCTGCTGTGCTACTACCATAGAGCTGGGAAAGATTCATTCGAACATTCAAAGGTTGAGCTGTAAGGAGAATAAAAACAGAGTTAAATACATCATTGTTTTCTCTAAATCAAAGAAGCACATTTGTTGTTCCGTCATTTACCTGGATTGAATCCCTTTTCCATTTCCATTTCTGTTTCATAATCCATTTCCCGTATTAGAAGTCCAATGGCATGGATTGGGTTTCTAATCTCTTGCAGTTTACTACAAATATCTTCCATCACATTTTCTCTATAAGCACAATTAAAAAACTGCTATTGTACTCAGAATGCGTAAGACAGGCTCCATATAAACTCCATATAATCCTATAAACAAAATGCTTTATGAAACAGGAAATCCAGCTGTGTCATAAATGACTAGAGATTATCACTTTGGCACACAAAATACTTTCACTCCACATGGCAAATTTCCCGTTTTTCAGATGTGAGAGACAAAATGAATACACCAAATTTTTTAAGTCTGCTTCTAGACTTGAATTTGTTATAGATTTTTTTTGTTTAAAAGCTGAAACCCGGCTTGGTGCCCATAGCTCAGTGGTTAGGGCACTAGCCACATGCACTGGGACTGTGGCAGGTGCTTATAGTCCCAGCTACAAGGGAGGCTAAGGCAAGACAATTGCTTGAGCCCAAGAGTTTGAGGTTGCTGTGAGTTGTGACACCACAGGACTCTACTGAGGGCGACATAGTGAGATTCTGTCTCAAAAAAAAAAGAGCCCCGCCAAACAACGACAGCTGCAACCAAAAAATAGCCAGGCGCTGTGGTGGGCACCTGTAGTCCTAAATACTTGGGAGGCGGAGGCAGGAGAACTGCTTGAGCCCAGGAGTTTGAGGTTGCTGTGAGCTGTGATGCCATGGCACTCTACCCAGGGTGACAGCTTGAGGCTCTGTCTCAAAAAAAAAGAGGCTCGGCATCTGTGGCTCAAGCGGCTAAGGTGCCAGCCACAAACACCTGAGCTGGCGTGTCTGAATCCAGCCCGGGCCCACCAAACAATAATGACAGCTGCAACCGAACAATGGCTAGATGTTGTGGTGGGTGCCTGTAGTCCCAGCTACTTGGGAGGCTGAGGCAAGAGAATCGCTTAAGCCCATGAGTTGGAGGTTGCTGTGAGGTGTGATGCCACTGCACTCTACCCAGGGCACTAGCTTGAGGCTCTGTCTCAAAAAAATAAAAATAAAAAACAGCTAAAACACCCATGTAGAATAATAGCAAATCAACTTTAAGCCATGATGTACATTTCTTGAAAAGAGTTAAAAACCCAATTCTGTCACTAGAAATGGCTGAATTTCCATTAGGAAATGCACTTTACCCTAAATTCTCCTTACACGTCAATAGTGATCAAATCTTCCAGAATCTGTTCTGCAGCCTTTTCTGGAGACTGTAGGTTGTAGCAACTCATTTCCATCATAACTGACATATCCATAGTAACTGACTCTCCAATCAGCCGGAGGCATTTTATAAGACAAATGACATCCCGAGCAACATCCACATCTATGAGTAAGAGAAAGTAAATATTCATGTTTCAAGACAACAAAGATCTATTGATATTATACTAAAAATTTTAATAATTAAATGTCAAGGGATCTATGAGGTTTAAGAGATGCTTAAAACTCTTCAGTTTCCCTTAATATATGCATAGTACAGTGAGATGACCAGCACAGGTCACTGTGACAATCAATATTTTTTGCCTTCATCTGAAACAAAGTACAGTTCACGTAGGAAGGGGATTAAATATGGAAGTAACAATCACTATTACCATCAGATATGGTTGTCTCATCTTCTGTCAAAAGGTTCTCATCAGGTAGGAGATATAAATGATCCACTAAGGAGGAGGGCACAAGGAAAGACAGGTACCCCTGGAAATACAAATCTTCTAGTTACATTTTTTTGCAGTGAATATTTTTGTAAATTTTCTTTTTTCTACTTGTGGGAGGGCTACGCCATTCCTAGAGGTACTGCAATACCAGGATGATGTACAGAGTTGACAGAACAAGCTCTTACTTTATCTCCTTGCTCTAAAAATTGATCTAATGTATTTAAAATTGCACATGAACTTTGTGGCCACTCTCTATTGTCCTCAAATAGATTAGATATTAAACTAATGAGAACAGATACTATATTTGATCTTAGCTGAAAGGCTGAGAAGCAATCAATGAATGTTTAAAGGTATAAAATAACTGAGTCATAACTCTTATGAGCAAATACCAGACAAACACAAATTGACACTCTCTATAAAACAGTAAGTACAGTACTCAAAAAAAGTGAATGTCATGAAAGACAAAGGCTGATAATAGTGTGAGATTAAGGTAAATAAACGTGACAACTATTAATAAATGTTTATAAGATTTTGGATTAGATTATGGGTCAAGAAGAAAAAGTATTAGTAAAATCTGAATGCAAACTGTATGAATATGGATGAAAGGGAATTCTTGGTGAAAGAAATTCATAGTACTGCTCTTGTAACTTTTACCTTAAGTTTGAAATTACTTTGATATAAAAAGTAAATAAGATTAAATATAGAAAAAAGATAATAATGCAAAAAACTAAAAACAACTGAATTATAATTTCAGGGAAAAGAACAGACTTAAATATAAGGTCCTAAAAGCCAAGTAAACATTCACTAGAACAACATTCTGCAAGACTGACCGAACCATCTAAAGAAGTTTTTCTCTATGTGCCAGCTCCCTTACTTTTTTCAGCAGGCACACCATGTTTGTGTGTGGATTCAAATGTAGGGCCAGAGGATGAGAGAGAGCTTCTTGGTACTGAAGACAACAAGCATAGAACTTGCACCAGAATTCCTGTTGTAAATTTCTAAACTCCTCCTGGGAGAATTCATATTCTGTTACACTTCCTTGAAGCTGGCAAAGAAGAAAGAAATTAAACTCTTGATACTGTTCAGTATATTTCTCCATGGAGTACATAAACTGTTCATTTTACTTAAGCTACAACCAAATGAATACTCCTGGTGTATTAAATGTCACAGAATATACAAATGTGTATCTAATTCTTTAATTAAAAGGTCTAAAGATTTAAATATCTGACTAACAAGATCAAGTGAACAATTCTAACAATTCCTCAGTACCAATTTGCCCCATATAAAGATGGAAGAAATTATCATTCTTGACTTGGAGCTTATGGCTCAAGCAGCTAAGGCACCAGCCACATACACCTGAGCTGGCGGGTTCGAATCCAGCCTGGGCTCACCAAACAACAATGACAGCTGCAATCAAAAAATAGCTGGGCATTGTGGCAGGTGCCTGTAGTCCCAGCTACTTGGGAGGTGGAGGCAAGAGAATCGCTTGAGCCCAGGAGTTGGAGGTTGCTGTGAGCTATGATGCCACAGCACTCTATTCAGGGCGAAAGCTTGAGGTTCTGTCTCAAATAAAAAAAAAAAATGAAATTATCATTCTTTCTCTACCCAAACCTTACCTCACTTTCAACAGCCAAAGTAACTTCTTTCTTTAGTTCACTCCAGGAAAGATCCAAATTCCTCTCAGTTGCTCGGCGGAAAATCTACAATTAAAAGAGACATTTTAGGCCAGGTACAGTAACTCACGTCTGTAGTCCCAGTTACTTGGGAGGCTGAGGCAAGAGGATCACTTGTTCCCAAGACTTTGAAGCTGCATTGAAGTACAACGATGCCACTGCACTCTAGCTGAGGTGACAGTCAGACAAAAAAGAGACATTTTAGAGTACTCTGTGATACTCAATGAAAAATATACCATAACACCTGGCTGTTTTTTTGTTACAGTTGTCATTGTTGTTTAGCTGGCCAGGCTGGATTTGAACCTGCCAGCCTTGGTGTATGTGGCCAGTGCCCTTACCCACTGAGCTGTGGGCACTGCCCAACTATGTGGTTTAGAATTTAAACTTTTTTTTTTTTAATAAAGCAGGATAAAGGAATAGCAAGTAATGAGGGAGAGGCATCTGCTTTATTTATTTATTTATTGCTATTGTTGTTGTAGTTGTCATTGTTACTTGGCAGGCCCAGGCTGGGTTTGAACCCACGAGCCCCATTGTATGTGGCTGGAGCCTCAGCAGCTGAGCTACAGGCACAGAGCCTGAATTTAAACTTTTTTTCTTAAATCTGAACTAACTCAGACATCTATCGAACTAAGAACAAAGTAGAAATAGACTATAATAAAAAAAACCTTTAGATTTCTTTCAAGTATATAGATTATATTCAGTGTAATATGGTATCTTTTTGCAATAGTGTAGGCACCAATTTCTCTTTTTGCCTCTGGCATGTTTCACCAGTTACTGGGATAGCAACCCCTACCTCTCAATCTTCAATAGAGGTCTTATTTAATGGAAAGAATATTTAAAAACAATTTTCAGTATTATTTTAAAAACATATATACATAAATAAATGTTTAGTATTAAATATATGTAAACCAAAACAGTAATTATTAACATACAATGTAGAAATAAGATAAGACATAGTCTTAAATTAACAGTAAATATTTTCTACTGACCTGTAAAGCTTTACATAAAGCTGCATTTGTAAATCGTCCTGGTGTAAAAAGATTCTGTAAATATATCTCCTGTTAGAACATTAAAACAAAAATGAGTAACATTCTAAAGACAAAATTTGAAGAAAAAATTCAACACATAACACCACAGTTTGGGTTTTTATTATATGGACACAGAAATTGTGCCCTTCTACATTTGAGCAGTAAGAAGCAGTTAGCCCTGTTTTCACACCACAGTGTCTCTGGGTCAACTAGATGTACACACTGAAAATGGTGCACTTCTCATGGAGATATATAGAGAATAAAATGGGAAATCTCATACTTCCTAATGATTTTGACCCACTCTCATCAATCAGATGTGTCCTTAAATAATAGCAAATGTGACTGATCTTCATTCAAGTTTCCTTCTACCGAGCTTCTGGTGGATGATAAAGTGACCAAATAAAGGAGAAAGCCAAATATTTTATAAATGAGCAAAAGATTTCAGCTTCCAGACAGAAGCTAAGTGTCAGTAATTAACTGGAGCAATAAATTAATGACTACCCAATTCATTGGGATTAAAACCGTAGCAATATTTACTTTAAGATATTTAAAGTGGGTTTTCTATTCCTACAGTCATTGTTTCAGAATCAGAGCCCATGATCTTTAATCTCATTATAATACTAGGGTATCAACTGAAAGCCTTTTCTTTCATTTATCCTGAGGATACCTGAAAAATGTGGAGACTAAACTGTTGTGCTCTTTATTTAACTACCTTTTAAAATCATTTTCTTCATAGCATACACCTCTATTAGAATTTATCTTATTTCTAGTTTATGTGCATGGATCAACATTATTGGTATAGTGAACACCTAACTGTATGTGTCTGTCCAGAATCTGTGCCCCCTCATTCTACAATAAAATCCCTTACCTTTCCATGCCTCCCCTACCCAAGCTCCATTCATTTTACCAGCACCTAAAATAGCAAGGCCCAAGCTGAACATGTGTCCCATGCCAGGTCAGTGAGTGTCACCTCAAGGACCTGGGTCTGAGGTACTGCTCTCTTTCCTCTGGAGTTGCCAAGTTCACAGAATGCAAGCTCACTCGGGTGGTGCGGGACACTGTCTGAGAATAAACCTAACGTGGAGGAAAGCCGACTAGAGAGGAGAGAGAGACCAAGCCTGGAAGGCATTGCTCAAACCAGGTAATACTGAACGTCTCAGCTGCAGAAATCAATGTATTCTCCTTTTAGCTTAAGTCAGCTGAAAGGGTTCCAAGATGGGTCTTCTTAAACCATCCCCTTATATGACACTTAGGCATGTGCTTACTCTGGGGTCTTGATCATCTCTGATGACAATCTCTTCCTCTGGCAGAGGCTGCATAAAAACTGGATTCCACTGCCCTGCAACATTACTACAGAAAAAAAGTCCATTAATTTATATAGAAATGATGCACAAAAACACTATTGGCAGTATCTGAGCAGGGAAGACCTGCTCACTGAACCCTGTAACAACTATTCTATTAAAAATTTTCAAAAAAAGAAATGAAGGGGGCAGCACCTGTGGCTCAGTGAGTAGGGCGCCGGCCCCATATACCGAGGGTGGCGGGTTCAAACCCGGCCCTGGCCAAACTGCAACAAAAATTAGCTGGGTATTGTGGCGGGCGCCTGTAGTCCCAGCTACTCGGGAGGCTGAGGCAAGAGAATCGCTGGTTGCTGTGAGCTGTGATGCCACGGCACTGTACCGAGGGCAGCAAAGTGAAACTCTGTCTCTAATAAAAAAAAAAAATTAATGAAGAAATGTATTCTTAGTAGAATCTAGTTTTTACACAAGTATTCTTACTAAGTTTTAACAGGTTAGCTTCTTAAAATTAAAAGCCTAAACACAAATCTACAAATAATAGCTAACTTTTATTCTGGTTTTAGTATTATGTTGTGTGGTTCTAGATATTACTCATGTATGCCTATCAATAAATAACTCTTTGGAAGATACATTACTCCGGCTTGGTGCCTGTAGCACAGTGGTTACAGCACCAGACACATACACCGAGGATGGCAGATTTGAACCCAATCCAGACCAGCTAAACAACAATGACACTGCAACAGAAAAATAGCTGGACGTTACAGCTCTGCCTATAGTCCCAGCTACTTGGGAGGCTGAGGCAAGAGATTTGCTTGAGCCCAGGAGTTTGAGGTTGGTGTGAGCTGCAACGCCACAGCACTCTACCGAGGGCAACATAGTGAGACCCTGTCTCAAAAAATTAATGAATGAATTAATTAAAGATACATTACTCTTGTTTTGCAGAGGTTCCAAGTGAGGCTTAGTGTATATCATAGGTAGTTAAGTTGTACAACTGTGATTCCAACCCTGTTCCAACCCTGGTGCTGGTACTTTCTGACCACTTTGCTTGAGTGTCAACTATAAGGAATACTCTTATCTTCTGAGGTATGGCTTGGGGGTATTCTGTGGAGCAATCATTCTTAGAATTCTACCTTCTGGGTTATGAAGAACTCAGAAGGTTCAATTACTACAATGGTTTTTAAGCAGTGTTCCAGGGAATCCTTTACAGATGTTTCAGGGGTTACACAGTGTTTGCTTCAAAATTGGTTTTTAGGGTGGTGCCTGTGGCTCAAGGGAGTAAGGTGCTGGCCCCATATGTTCAAACCCAGCCCCCCGGCCAAAAACTACAAAATTGGTTTTTAAAATGTGCTTGTAACTATTTTTTTTTCTTTTTTGTAGAGACAGAATCTCACTCTGTTGCCCTTGGTAGAGTGCTGTGGCATCACAGCTTACAGCAACCTCCAGCTCTTGGGCTTAGGCAATTCTCTTACCTCAGCCTCCCGAGTAGCTGGGACTACAGGCCCCTGCCACAATGCCAGCTATTTTTTTGTTGTTGCCATTTGGCCGGGGCCGGGTTTGAACCCACCACCTCCGGCATATGGGGCTGGCACCCTACTCACTGAGCCACAGGCGCCGCCTGTGCTTGTAACTATTAAAAAAATAAACTGATGTACTTAATACTAGTATGATACCAGTAGATAATCTAATACATGCCCACATAAGAGAAAAATTCAACTCAATGCAAGCTGGAGGAAGGGGAATGAGGGAAAGAAGAGGGGAGAAGATCGGTGTGCTCCCACTTAAATAGACACAATGTAAGGATATATGGCACACCTTTCAGCTATGGGATACAACTAGAAGAGGGACTCTTCTAACAAATGCAAATATTGTAACCTAGTTGTTTGTACCTTCACATTAACCCAAAACAAACAACAACAAAATAAAAAACTGCAAAACAAACCAACACCCCCCCCCAAATCTTTAAACTGTCAGGCATGGTGGCATACACCTGTAGTTCCAGCAACTTGGGAGGATAATGAGGGAGGATCAATTAAGCCCAGAAGTTCAAGGTTATAGTACACTATGACTGTACTTGTAAATAGCCACCACATTCCAACCCAGGTTACATAGTAAGGTCTTGTCTCCAAAACAACAAAAAAACTAAATAAAACTAAAAATTTAAAGTAATACACATTAAAAATATTAGATACCAAATAGATTATTGACATCCTGTAATTTTACACTCATAAAATACTAATTTTATTTTATATGTTGGAGTTCATCATCTTTTGAAAAAAAGGCTTCCTCTTTTAAAAAATTTGAGAAGCACTGTACTTGTCCAATCTATTCCTCATCTCACAATGAAGAAATTGAGAACACAAAGGGGCTGCAGTGTCTTTCGGAAATTGTGGATATCGAGAATAGTCTTTGCTTAGAAGTAAACTAGATTAGGAGTAATTTTTTTTTTGAGACAATCTCATTTTGTCACTCTCCGTAGAGTGCTGTGGCATCATAGCTCACAGCAACCTCCAACTCTTGGGCTCAAGCCATTCTCTTGCCTCAGCCAACCTAGTAGCTGGGACTACAGGCACCTGCCATAATGCCTGGGTTCTCACTCCTGCTCAGCCTGGACTTGAATCTGTAAGCTTAAGCAATCCACCCACCTCAGCTTCCAGAGTGCTAGAATTATAGGTATGAATGACCATGCCCAGCCCTGATTAGCAGTATTTTGGATATGTGCTACCTCTCCCAAGAAATATGGTATTTTCTTTATCTTAGTTCAATCCTAAGAGTTCTCATTTTATCCTAAAACCAAAAGGTAGGAAACAATACAAAATGCAAAAGAAGTATTTCAGAAGACAGTAACAGCAAGCAAACTCAGGGTCAAATCCTTCAATTGAAAACCCTTGACTTGGTTCTATATAAAAAGCTCTTGTCTTCTTAGCGTGAAACTGCCTGGAATGAGGTAGAATGACAGAGTTAAGTGACCCATACTGTTCAAAGTTGATGTATTTCACAACTGTTTGGTTCTCAGCATCATGCCACAGGGCCCAGATATCCGTGGAGGTTAAGGCAAAGTCAATCAGTGTCTCCTAGGAGGAAATGTAAAAAAAAAGGGCTAAAAGAATAAAGAAAAGGTAGTAATTCATGGTGACTTAAATTTGTATTGGTGGGAGAGGTAAAGGGATAAAAACAAAACATAGTACCACATGAACTTGGTAAAACCCAAACAAAATTTTGTTTCCATATACTCCTCTTCAAGACTATAATCCCATTACACCTGCAATCTCCAGCCCCCAGGCCTCAGACCAGTACTGGTCCATGGCCTGTTAGGAACCAGGCTGCACTGCAGGATGAGCAGTGAGGGAGGGGACGGGACAGAAGGAAGCTGCATCTGTATTTACAGCTTCTCTTCATTGCTGGCATCACTGCCTAAGCTCTGCCCCCTCTCCCTTGTCCCTATCCCCAAGTCTATGGAAAAACTGTCTTCCATGAAACCTGTCCCTGGTGCTGAAAAGACTGGGGAGTGCTGCATTACACCACAGTGAGGTTAGCCAACACTTCTTTTTCTTATACTTATGTAACATGCAAAGGATGATTCAACCTACCTGAGAAGTGAATAGTGAGGAAATGTGATCTAGACTATAGCGGTTACTCTCGGTGCTCACCAACTGGAAAATGCAGAACTGTTAAAACACAAGTTGGTAATTTATATACTTGTAAAAATCACCATGTTACTTTTCTTTTTTCTTTTTCTTTTTGAGACAAAGTCTCACTTTGTTGCCCTCAGTAGAGTGCCGTTGCGTCACAGCTCACAGCAACCTCCAGCTCTTGGGCTAGGGTGATTCTCTTGCCTCAGTCTCCCAAGTTGCTGGGACTACAGGTGCCTGCCACCCTTGGTATATGGGGCCAGCACTCTACCCACTGAGCCACAAGCGCTGCCCAACATGTTACTTTTCTAAGCAAGGGCTATTTGCATGTAGAACTATTTTTTTAAAAAAGGTGTAAAATACACATAAGCATAACATTTGCCACCATAACCATTTTTAAGTGTACAATTCAGTAGTTATAAGTATATTCACTGGCTCGGCGCCTGTGGCTCAACCGGCTAAGGCGCCAGCCACGTACACCTAAGGTGGCGGGTTCGGATCCCCAGCCTGGACCTGCCAAACAACAATGATGGCTGCAACCAAAAAA